ACTGAAGTTAGACTTCAGGTATATACCCTGTTGTACTGTGCTAACGAGGGCCTACGCTGTTGAAATGGGCCCACACAAGTCTCTGCAGGGGGAAAGGCACTCAAAGTCCATGGATCCCTTATGCCTGTGCCTAGGCAAAGGAGCTGTGCCTACTCTGGGTTCCTGGCTTAGGGGAGCCGGCAGTTTATTTTTTCCCGTTTGTTAATTTGTTCATTCTCCAAGGCTGGGAGAATGGCTCAGGGCACGTGATGGATCCTACTTCCAGCCCAGGGGACTCAGCAATTGCTGAAGCCGGTCCAGGACCCAGTGCAGAGCAGGGAGTGGGGAGGTAAATGGGAGAGAGGTTTTTCCCTGGTGGGGGGTGGGGGGATGTTTTTTTATCTGCACGGTAGGCCATATGTAAGTACTTATCTTTTGCCAATCAAGGACTGCTTCTCACTAGTTATGGGTGGCCAAGTAGACTCTCTGGCGCTGGGTCTCTCCCAATGCAGAAAATGCGCTCCTGAGCACTGCTGCTTGCCTACCTCACTGCTCACCCATGAGCTGCTCAGGCCTGAGGGGCTCAGGCTCTCACCGGGTCAGGTCTGGCAACTCCTTGCTGCTTCTGAACCATCTCTCCCTCCCCCTGCCACTCAGTTCGGTTCCTCAACTGTGCCTCAGATGTTCAGGGCTCCTAGCTTGTCATATATAATTGATTCACTTGTTTTTTTGCGTCTTTGTTGTAAGAGGGTCCACCGGAAATGTCTGACTCCTCTGCCATCTTGGCCCTGCCTCCAAGAAGACTAATTTCTAAGGTCTTCTGGGTGCACATGCGATGGGCGGGCACCTAGCCCAGGTCTAGGAAATTAGAGAACACATCCTACAGAAGGTGATATCAAAGCTTCTGCCGGTTCCCTTTACTAGACCAGGTAGGCCTAGTTAGGTGGGCTGGACACTTATGTTACAGGTACATCCACCTAGTACCCCAGCTGAGGCACCATGAGTCGCCCAGTGCCATACTCTTTAAAAAATAGCAATTTAAGTTAGTTTTCGAAACTAAATTATTTTTTTCAGATGCTATGTATAGTCAACTTCAGCATGCAGACAACACAGAAGCAAAATCAATACTGCTCTTCCAAAGCACCCTTACATTCAATACAGGTCTACAGTTCTTGTGAGCAGGTGCACTCTGGAAGTCTGAACACTTAAGATTTTATACATGTGGTACAGCGCACATATATTACATAAAACCTTGAGTGGTGTCAGGACAGCCTTTTAAAGCAGTAACATTAGTATTTCTGCAATGCAATGAATAATCATATTAAGTGAGGTATGTAACCACTCTGAATAGTCTTTCTTCAGTTCACGTCAGATTTTGCCACAAAATAGTTCAGGTTACATCAAATTTAGACACCAAATGAGTCACAAAAATCTTTCAGTTTTCAATGTTTTATGGATTTCGGAATTGCAGATAAGGGATTGAGGATCTGTCTTAATTATCAATAGTAAAAACAACTACTGTTTTGAAAACTTAATTGAAAATTCTTCACCTCCTCCACATGTGGCATCACAATCTTCCCAACTTGTATGTGTCCACATGAATAGGGGCTCAGGCTCTTTAGAGCTCTGATTCTCTGGAAGAGGGTCTGATGGAATAGTGTATTCATAGTGAAGGCCATAATTCTGATCTTGAAACAGCAGCACCTACAATATATAAAAAAATGCAAAGCAGATGGGTCACATTAGAGCATATTCAGTCTGAATGATAAAACTAAAGATACTGATGCCCTAAATGCATGTTACATGGCATTCATACTCCCTTAATACATAGTAGAGATGTGACATTACTGCTTAAATGTTTAAATGGTCATAATTTAAAAAAAGATGGAGCTCTAGGCTTACCTTTATGCTAAAGACATCACAAAGAATATTCCACTTGAATGAGGTCAGAGATACCTGATCATTTTCTGTCACATCAATGGACAAGACTATTTCCCCAAGCAGGTGCATGTATGAGAAGACTTTCGGTTGTACACGTATTGGGAAATACGGGAATGTGTGTCCTACCTAATTTCAAGATATGACCCACAATCTAATATCAAATGTAGCCGTCCATTCATATAAAGAGAAAAGATGATAGCAAGCCCCTGGAGCAATGGAGGATGAGGATAGCAGCCTTTGGGAATCCCTCTACTCCAGAAGGGTGGGGAATTTTGAGACAAGTGGAGAATAAAAATTTAATTTCATGTATGCTTATGGTTAACTTTATTTCTGGAAAAGTGACTGATTTTCCATTTGCAATGAACTTTTTAATATTAATTGAATAAATCTACAGTTATGTACAGATATATAAACAGTTCAATAAACCATGAAGGTGTATGAGAATAACTGAAGTTTGGGCCACACTGGACTAGACCATAAGCAAAGACCATGTCTGTTTGTTCTCCACTGGCCTCCAGTGCTAGGGTCAGAACCTGGATCATGGTGGGCACTCGTAAACATGTTTAAATAAAAGAAAAAAATGAATAAGAATAGACGTTTCTTTATAAATACATTTGCACAAAATATGTCAAATAAACTCATGAAATATATCACTTCTTTGAATCTGAGGATTTATGGGAGCAATATATAGGGTACAATGTGATACATAAAAGCATATATATATATCTAAATTTTAAAATTACACTGAATTATTATAGAGCTTTGCTCAATATTTAACCTGTATCATGACAGTTGTAGGGATAGGTAATTCAGAGTTAACAATCCATGGGGCGGAGGGGAGGTTGCTATGAGTCAAAATCAACTCAATGGCAGTGGGTTTGGTTTTTTGGTTTTGGAGGGAAAAATGAAAAGGTGTCCAAGATTAAGGGTTTGAACATTTCTATCACATTTTATTTACTCCTTTTTTCAAAGTTCTGTTCAATTTATCAACAGAATGACTAAGATATATTTTAATGTATGGATTGGAGAATTAGTGTGATGACTTTACAGATAAAAGATATCAATAATAAAAATAATAGTTATTAAGTTCAGACTTGCATAACATATTGGGGACTAATTCTACATTAGTCACATCATTATTTCGGCTTTAAAAATCTCATTTGATTTTACCAGTAGAAGTAACTTCCAGCTAAATGAATTTTAAGAAGACAGAGATTGACTTATCTTGTTTATGGTCATAACCAGACTATTAAATAGCTTTCAAATTGACCAACTGAGCATATAAATAACAGCTATTAGCCAACTTATTTAATTAAATGAAGACATGTCCATTTTTCATAGTAAGCTATCTTGTCACTGATAGAACTTAAGATTGTCCTTGATATCTAATGCCATTTAAAATAGAGACATTGGCGCCAAACCATTAGCTTTTTCTTACACCATCTGAAGTTGGCAGCTTTCTATGCAAGAAGGAAAGTGTGACCATGTTACAGTAGAGAGGCACAGACTGAAGCATGGCAGCAGAAGGTATTGCCTTTCAAAATTCAGTACAAGCTTTCAATCTGCAATAGTCATTAAAGAAAATTATCTTAGAAGTGTAGTTTCTCTTGGATTACTGAATAAATCCAGGTCACATCAAGGTCTTCTTTTAGACACAGTTCACTGACTTTAATTATGCTTCATGCTTCCAGGAAAACCCTTGGTAATTACCAGTTAGATTAAGGATTCTGTAGCAAGGAAACTCCCTCTGCTCAATACGGAGGTCTCACATATACTGCTTTAAGATTTTGAATTAGAGGCTTGGTCTTGTTCCATAAAACAGGTAGGTTGCATTTATATAAGGTAAGCAACCTGATGGCATTGTCTGCAATCCAATCATTAAAAATATGTTTGCTGCTGATAATGTTGTTATTATAAATGACCCAGTCATAGAAGCAGCTAGGTACTGGTCATACAATTTTTTTTAATCATTTTTTTCTTCTTTTTCCAGATGGCACAGTGCACAGAGTGGCATTTTTTGTTCAAATTAAAGAATAAGGTCCAAAGGAATTACGGGGAGATGCACAGAATAATTATTCAAAGTATACATATACCTATGACCCAAGGCTGTTTAATGTAAAGAACTTAGGTCTATGCTTTATATCAGGAGAGGCAGTTGAAAAGAGTGTTAACATCTGGTTTATTCACAGCTAAATCATTTACTGGGTAACACTGTGCACAGTACTTAACCTTTCTAATACTTAGTTTTTGTTGTTGTTGTTTAAATCTGTAAAATGGAGTAATAATACATACTACACAGAATTATTGTGAGGATTAAATGCTCTAATGAATGGAAATGAAATGCTGTGGTGAGCCATACTATAGCACTTTCTTTTTAGACATTCACTGATTGTTAGTATGTCTGTAGAAAAAAGTGAAAAGAAAACTCATTGCCGTAAAGTCAGTCTTGACTCATGGCGATCCCATGTGTTACAGAGTAGACGTGAGCTCCACAGGGTTTTCTTGGCTGGAATCTTTATGGAAGCAGATCGCTAGGGTTTCTTCTGTGACACTGCTGGGTAGGTTCAAACCACCAACCTTTAGGTAAGTGGTCATTTAGTCACCCAGGGATTACTTTACGAAAAAGCAAACAAACAAAAACCAACTAGATGGTGCCCGGCTACCACCACTGACTGCTCTGACGGGATCACAACAGAGGGTCCCAGACAGAGCTGGAGAAAAATGTAGAACATAATTCTAACTCGCAAAAAAAGACCAGACTTACTGGCCTGACAGAGACTGGAGAAACCCCCAGAGTATGGCCCCCGGACACCGTTTAGCTCAGTAATGAAGTCACTCCCGAGGTTCACTGTTCAGCCAAAGATTAGACAGCCCCATAAAACAAAACGAGACTAATGGGGCACAACAGTCCAGGGACTAGGACTAGAAGGCAGGAGGGGACAGGAAAGGTGGTAATAGGGAACCCAAGGCTGAGAAGGGACAATGTCAACATGTTGTGGGGTTGTTAACCATTGTCATAAAACATGTGTACGGTTTAATGAGAAACTATTTGTTCTGTAAATCTTCATCTAAAGTACTAAAAAAAAAAAAGAGAGATTGATTTAAGACACACTTTACACTAATACGGCCTTGTTAACAAAAAAAAAAACCAAAACCAAAACCAAAAAACAAACCCACTGCTGTTGAGTCGATTCCAACTCATAGCGACCCTACAGGACAGAGCAGAACTGCCCCATAGGGTTTCCAAGGAGTAGCTGGTGATTCAAACTGCTGACCTTTTGGTTAGCATCTGAGCTCTTAACCACTGCGCCACCAGACAGGGTCCTTATTCCCTGGTAATTTACCTGTACTTTGAGTCTATGGTTCCTGAAATACTCTGTTGCTCTTGTAGTTACTACTGTTTTTAAATATCATAATTTAAAGCCCATTAAAAAAAAAACCTGTTTCTTAAATAATTTTAAATGTCTATCTGACAATTCAAATCTGAAAAAAAGAGTAGAGAAGGTATGATGGGAATGTCATCTGCCACCGGAAGTTGATTATGCAATGTTATCATTCTTTCCCTCATACCAGGAGGTGTAAAGGTGTTGTGGTAGGACCTTTGGCAGAGATCTTCTCCCAGAGGCCTCGTCGTAGGTAATGGACCGTCGTTCCCGCTAGGTTGAATGCTCCAGAGTGTTCAATCTTCCAGTCACTATTAATAGACTGTTTGCCAGCATCTCGGAGAGCTATAAAGAGGTTCGAAAATATTATGAGTATAAACTAATCAGCATCATTGATCAATATTGAGTTCATATATTTTGTTAAAACTATTCCATTCATTTCTAAACAGATGGGTCCATAGTCTCTGACATTAAACACAAGGCATCTCCTTTTGGAACACATCCTTACTAATTCCCACCTCTATACCATGGCAAATACCACAAACTCTCCTTTTTCTTCTTCTCCTTCTCTCGCCTCTTCACAGCCACAATTATCTTTGCCTACTCCAACCTTCCTGGATACTTGATGTCTGTATCCCTTATTTTGGCCCTTAATCCCTTATTTTGGTTCTTAATTATTTACACTGTCATTGTAAGGCTGTGTGTCTCATCTACCCAGTGGTCCTATGAGCAACGTGAGATCTGATGCTACAGCTTAGAAATACTCTGCATCTCCTACACCACTCAGAAAAGTGTGCAATTAAATAGCATGTTAACTAACAGTTTGTTTTGGTTTTGCTATATTTCAACACATCTTCAGAGCGTAATTATAAAGGAATATCCTCTGAAAATCTCTAACAAAAATGTATTTAAAAAAATCTCTGGGGGTGGCGAGAGCTATGGTATTTTAAACTGAATCCATATTCCTGGTAATCAGCATCCCTCAGAAAACAGCACATCATGTACTTGTAAATCCACACGACTTACTACCTTTAATAGCAACCACACATGAAGAATCAATACTCCAGGTATGTGGAGTTTCCTTGTTCTGTTTTATTAACTTAAAAAATTTGTTTTTTAGAAGCCCTGCTTCTGGTCATGACTGAATAACTGGAACTACACTAGCTCTTCGACCATGAAAAACTAGAAAACTGGACAATGTACGAAACAACTTTCTCAGACACTGGACAACTGACAACAGATAACTGTTATTCTTTAAGAGAAGGGTAATATGAGCTCTACAATTACCTGAAGATATTTCCCAGACCCCACCACAGGGAGAAGAGATCCATAGAACACAGCTGTCTCCGTGAGATGAGGACACAGAGATCAGAGGTTAAGGCAACTGGAATCGGTAGTAAGGAGTACTGGAGAAGAAGGAGCTACACAGAGAAAGAGCCCCAGAAATGTACAAACAGGCTTCTTTGCACCTGTGGCTTAATACTAAGCTTCAAATAAATAGGGTGAACCCCTCTCCCAGGTCTGGACAAAGAATAACTATTTGGGAATTCTAAACTGTACAACTCCTAGAGCTCACATAGAATTGGAAGGTGTGTGAGTTCCCAGCAGAATGGAAAGATTTTACTAAATATGCAGATCCTTCAGTGGAGACTCTAGAAATATCACATCCTAGAAATAAACTTAAACTAGTCTTTTAAAAGGCTACGCTAGAGCCATACTAACAAAGCTTTTAAAAAGCCTCAGGAAGATCAATCTGATCTGTAAGTAAATTAACTATCCAGTAAAATGAAACTCAACACTAAATAAAGAACAACAAAATCCAGTCATTCAACAATGTCACATTAACAGGGTCCAGCATCCAATGAAAAATTGCTAGATATGTGAAGAAGTCAGAACATGTGACCTGCAACCAGGGGAAAAATCAGTCAATAAAATCAGGCCCCAAAATAACAGATATGATAGAACAAAGACTTAAAAACAGATACTGTAAGTATGATTAATATACACAAAAATTTAAAGAAATATTAAGAACTGAAATGGAAATTTAAAAATATGCAGATCAGTTTTCTCAGAACAGAAATAATGCAATGTCTGAAACAACAAATTCACTGATTCGGCTTAAGAACAATTTAGACATTGCAAAATAAATTCAGTGAACTTGAAGATAAGCTAATAACTGGGACACAGGGGAAAAAGAAAAAAGCTGAAAGAAAATGAACAAAAACCTTCCAACATACAAAACTCTAGTGTTCTATCAAACATTTAAAGAAGAAATAGTACCAGTCTTACACAAAGTTTATTAGAAAAAACCGAGAGTCATAAGGTTCTTCAAAAGTATAAGAAATGTTATTTTTCTTAAGGTGGATAATAAATATAAATCTGTACATTTTACTGTTTCCTGTATACCTAACTTATAAGTTAATAATATTCATTTGTATCTATTAAATATTCAGTAAATCATATTTTTATATATTTGGGTTACAAGTCCTTTTCAACATACAAGTATTTTCTCCAAGGCTATGCCTGGCCTTTTTATTTTCTTAATGGTGTCTTTTAAAAAGCAGTAGTTTTAATTTCAATGAAATCCAACATACTAATTTTTTTTCTTTTAGGGCAGTATTTGTACATGTCCAGTGTAAGAAATCTTTGCTTATCTCAAGGTTGTAAAGATTTTCTCTTACATTTTCTTCTAGACATTTTAGCGTTTTAGCTTTTTGTTTAATCTGTAATTCATTTTGAGTTAGTTTTTGTATACGATGTGAGGGAGGGGTCATGGTTCATTTTTTCTTTTCCATGCAAATATCTAGCTGTTCCATCACCATTTATTTAAAGATTACCCTTTTTCCTCCGAATTACCCTGACACCTTCGTTGGAAGTCAGTTGACTACATATCTGTGTGCTTGATCTCTCACTACAATGATGAATTTGTCATTTTTCCTCTCAATTTTTGTTTTAAAACTTTGAGACCATATTCCTGGGTTCATAAAAATGTAAAACTATAATAACTTTGTAATGGATTGAATCTACGGCACACAGTATAACTACTTTATGACTCCTTTTATCTCAAGCAATGTCTTTTGCTTTACAGTGCGTTTTGACTTACATTAATTAAGGTTACACCAGTTTTCATTTGGTTTGTATTTTCCTGGTATTGTTTTCCCATTCTTTGATTTTTAGTATTTGTGCATCTTATGTTATGTAATTTCCTTCTGAACATGATATGCCTCAATTAATTGAAAAACCCAGTCTGACAATCTTTGTCATTTAACTACATATTTTAGTCCTTAATAATTATTAAAATTGCTAATGTTTTATTTATACCATCTTATTTTGTGCTTTCTTTTATTCTGCTTGCTGTATATTTCTTGCATTTTTCTCCTATCTTTATTTCCATAGATTGTTGAGTTGTTTTTTTTTTTTTTAATTTCATTTGTAAAAATCATACTTGGTTCTTTCAAAAAATCTGTTTTAGTCAATTCTATAGTCTTATTTTTCATGTTTATTTTTATCCTTCTTGTATATATTTAAAGATACTAACCATAATTATTTTTATATTTTCTGTATATGATAAGACTAGTTATGTCTTTGCATGTTTGACTCTGCTCTCCCTTTTTTCTATTGTGTCTTATTCCTGGTGTCTGTTTCCTTTTGTTTTTTCTGATTTTTTTTTTTTCACTGTAAAATCATGTATGTTGATTTTTATAGAATTTTTTTGAGTCTCGGTTTGAAGGTGCATTCCTTCAAAAAGGATTTTTGTTTGCATATACTAGTCATCTTGGTAACCTCATTGAAATACACGTTGCATTGAGGGTTTGGGACCTCACAGTAAAGGTAAATCGGTGCTGCAAAACCATGTGAGAGTTTGCTTCAGGTTACAAATTCTCGGGAATTTTTCTACCTCCATCTAGTACTAAAGTCAATATAAACATGGTTCCTTTCTTTATCCTTTTGTGATTCAAATTCATTTCTATCTCTCCTTCATACTGGCTTATAGCCCTTTGGTGTCCTTGCTTTATGTGGGAGGTACCTTGTTAGAATCCCCACTTTGTAAAGGCCATAGGCCTTGTTTTCTGTCCACAGTGTCACTGTAGCTCTCAAAGTCCAAGCCTAGTCACCAGAATGAAGCAGAAATGGGGCTTCAGAGTCAGCCTAATACTCTGGATTCCTGCTCTCACTTTGATTTTGGCACCTGAGGGTTCCTTGATTTCTTTCCAGTTCAGTGGCAAATGTTAAAAGTTGAAAAACGTGTTTAAAAGTGGTTGTTTTTGGTTTCATTTTTGCATTTTGTTCATCATTCAAATTGTCTTTTGCAAGGTTTGTCTGCAGTAGGTTTCACGCAACACTACCAGCAAGGTAGGTTGACCTATATACCCTTTCTTAGATTTTTAAAAATTACGTGTCATAATAATTTTGTAAAGATATAACATATGGTCCACCTGAAGCACTCTCCTTTTTATGCTTTTTAATAAATTAGTAACAAAGTAATAAAGCCACAGTCTTCAGGAAAGCAGATAATAATTGCACATGGGAATACAGTTCAAAGAGAGAGTAATGAAAAAGAATAATTGTATTGGGAGGGGATTAGATATCTCCTATGAGATAATATATAGTTTGATGTAGACAAGTTAATTTGTTAAAGAATGATGAGCTTGCCAAGGTTCTATTTTCCTTTCTTTTTGCTAAAGACATTTTCAGATGAAGATTTCCAGCGACTTCCTTCCTATGCCTGAAGGAGCGTTTAGTAAAAGTGATTTATGATGTGTATCCCCTGCCAGATCTTTAGACTTAAAATCTAGGACTTCAGTACTGTGCCATTTCTTTTTTCCCAAAACATGTCCCTCATCCATGTGTCTTGTATCGGTAAATGGCACTACTACTTGTCCAGCTGTTTAAGTCGGAAACTTAGAAGTGATCCTTGACTCTTCATCCTCTGTCAACCCCCATAGCCATTTTTTCAACTAGTTTCATCAGTTCAACCTCTTAAAAGTCCTCTGGAAGCCACTGAGTTTTTTCCAATCCTATTATTACTTATCTTGCATGGGCCAACATCATCTCTTAATTGGATTATGTAAGTGGTCTCTTTGTTTCCATTCTTGTACCTTTCAACTCATTCATCAGGATAATTATTTTTTTTGTCAGTTAAGTAAGTAAGGACACTTAGTGCGTTCTTGAATAAACACTGTAATGTATTAGGATTTTCAACATGATTTAATCTCCAGAGTAGCATTCTGGATGTTTAGGAGCAGAGATGCTATTTTTTTATACAAGTAAAAGATCCTAGTAATTTAGGTTCAAAGCTAAAGCACAGGACAGATATGAGATTCAAGTTTTAAACTGTAAGGCCTTTTAATACGAAAAAGTAATTGGGGATTTGTTTAGAGATTCTCAGTGCGGAAGGAAGACAGAATTTGGAAGAATTGAGAACAGTGACTAGAGAAGGAAATAGTTATGTCATGACTTCTACCTCTGAGCTGACTCTATACAATAAACTGATCACATTAGTAAGAAAAGAAAAAATAAAGGGGGGAGGTTTCAGTGAAGAAATTTTAATATATGACACGTACTTTGAAATCACAAGTGTTGCATGGAAGGCAATGATTAAAGAAGGACAGAATAAAAAAGCAGCAGCCTGGTTTACTGCCTAAGAATCCAGATACTATGTCCACACTGTTTATGTTCCAAATCCAGGATTATTGCATTTTAGATGTGTGACATTGGGCAAGTAACTTAAACTCTCTGTTCCTCTGTCTCCTGATTTTTAAAATAGGGATATTAGTAGCACCTACCTCATAGAGTTGTCACGAGGATTTATTTAATGGATATATGAAATGCACTGGTCCATACTAATCACCGTGTTAAGTGCAAGCCATCTTTTCTTAATAAAAATTCAACAATATTTATTATTTTGTGCATGCTAGAATCCACTTCAGTTACTGTGGATATAGCACTGATCAAAATGACAGGGTCCCTGTCTTCGTTATTTACCCATGGAGGGAGACAAAAAGGCAAGCGTATAAACAGATAAGAAAATTCAGACTGTGTTAAGTACTATAAGGGAAATAAAGCAGAGCAATGTGATAGAAAGGGACTTGTTTGGGGGTGACAGTGGGTATGAATAGAAAGTGATAGATTTGATTAGCCGACAGGACTTGGTGATGTATTGGATTAGAGTGGTACGGAAAATGAGGAATCAAGGGGAATTCCTACTTTTAGTATACTAAAACTAAAAAACCAAACCCGTTGCCATCGAGTTGATTCTGACTTATAGCGACCCTACAGGACAGAGTAGAACTGCCCCACAGGGTTTCCAAGGAGCAGCTGGTATTTCAAACAGTTGACCTTTTCGTTAGCAGCCAAACACTTAACCACTGCGCCACCAGGTATACTGGGTAGAAATTATTGACTGTGGTAGCGACATAAACCCCCAAAAACAGTCTGTTGCCGTCAAGTTGATTCCGACTCATAGTGACCCTATAGGACAGAGTAGAACTGCCCCATGGAGTTTCCCAGGAGCACCTGGTGGATTCGAACTGCCGACCTTTTGGTTAGCAGCTGTAGCTCTTAACACTATGCCACCAGGTTTTCTAGGTAGTTACATAATGGCCCCCAAAATATATCTACATCCTAATCCCTGAAACTTGTGGGTGGTACTTTATGTATCTGCAAAAAAAGAATTTATAGATGTGATTAAGTGGAGGATTTTGAAATGGGGAGATTTTTCTGAATTGTCCAGATGGGCCCTAAATGCATTCACATGTATCCTTAGAAAACAAAGACAAAGGGAAATTTGAACACAGAAGAAGAGGAGAAGGCAATGAGACCATGGAGGCAGAGATTGGAGTGATGGAGCCACAAACAAAGAAATGCTGGCAACCACTAGAAGCTGAACAAGACAGGGAACTGATGCTCCCATAGAGCACTCAGAAAGAGGATGGCCCTGCTGACATCTTGATTTCAGACTTCTGGCCTCCAGAACTGTGACAGAATAAATTCATGTTGTTTTATGCCCCCAAGTTTGTGGTAATTTGTTACAGCAGCCATGGGGCACCAATACCGTGACAATTACTGTAGCGGGGGAAGGCATTTTGCCCAGTGTTTCCAAAAACTGGATGTAAGGGCCTTAATCTGAATTCAGAAATCTGCGTTAATCTACTTGTGCTTACATGAATTTAAACAATGTGTTGTTGTTGTTAGTAGGTGCTACTGAGTCAGTTCCAACTCATAGCAACCCTATGTACAAAAGAATGAAACACTGCCCGATCCTGCGCCATCCTCACAATCGCTGTTATGCTTGAGCCCATTGTTGCAACCGCTATGTCAATCCATCTCATTGAGGGTTTTCCTCTTTTTCGCTGACCTTCTACTTTACTAAGCATGATGTCCTTCTCCAGGGACTGGTCCCTCCTGATAACATGTCCAAAGTACATAATGTACTAACCAACGTAGTAAGTAAAAATAGATAAAATTTATACATGGGTAATGACAAACAAATGTGCGTGTCATACAGCAAGAGATTTCTTCTACTATCTCCTTTCCTCAAATTCTCCTACTCTTAGAAAGCAAATCCTGATGAAAAAAATAATACAATCCTACTGCAGACCTTTCTCAATGTTGTAGAGTAGAAACGATCATGTAAGATTGGGTTATTTAGCATGTACAAATGATTTCCCTATTTAAACATTATTGTTCATTTAAGAAAGAATAATAAGGACATTATTTTTATTAAAAAAATAAAAAATGCAAACAGGCTTTCTTTAAAGATAATATAAAGCATGATCTGCCATTTCACATGACTTAGATTAAAATTCTAACGCATATAAGAAATGTGTATTTTGACAACTAAATATTTTATTTCATATAGTTGAAATAATTAATTGACCTAATTAAAATGTTAAAATAAGTGATAAAGTCCTTCCTACAAGCAATACATAAACATTTAAAAATCCTCTCTTCATAGGTGAGTTCACCTAAAGTGAGGCAAGAGAATAAACCCTTTCCCATTAAAAAAATTCCACTCCTTTTAGTATGTAGAAAAGAAAAAAAATCCATAAAATTTCTTAATTCTAAAACAATCATTTTATATATTTATATGTGTGTATATATGTATATATTTACCCATATAATTAATATGTATATACATATGTTTATTTGTATGCGCATGTGTATATGAAATAAAACATACCCAAATCCTTCAATGACTTTTTTTAAACATAGACTAACATGTGGAAGCAATTTTTACTCCTTAAAAACCATACAGACAACCAGATTGCTTTTGTCCCTGGGAAGTCCCTGGGAGAGAGGGAAAGAAATTCCTGCTTGATATGACATGAGGCGCTTCCTGGAAAATTCAAACATGTAACTGGAAACAGATTGACTTCCTCTTCTTCACAAGACTCTTAGGGCAGGGAGCTGGACTAACACTTGGATTATCTGTGTCTGTAACACAGGTTACCTAGATAGCTATGTGCCGGCTTTTCCTCCACAACTTTGATTCTTCTTGCTCCAGCAGGTATCACCAGCACTTCTACATAGCCTGTAAGAATTCATAAAAAAAAGAAATAAATTTTGAGTTCTCATAAGATTTCTTTTCTTGATTGACTTTTCTTTTTAATATTTCATTTGGTTTTTGCTCTGCTATTTCACTACCTATTGGAAGAAAACATGTATGAAAGCTGTCGGAATTGACTCGATGGCAATGGGTTTTTTGGTGTCCAAGTGGAGCAGTTTCTTGAAAAAATGCTGAGCCTACAGCACTATCAAGAACAAATAGGCAATGATATTTTACATGTTAAATAGTTCATTGATACTTTAAGAACTGAGAAAAAGCACAGTGGGACAGCCTGGCTAGAAACACTGGATCTTAAAACGGAGCAAATAACCTAAGATTCTGTTTTGGGAGCTCCTTTAAGTTACAAAGTGTGGAGAAGAAGGAAATGCAGTGGAGAGAACAAAGCTGCCCTGGACCACGTCCCTGGAGTAGTTACGTACAGGACAGAGGGACAAAGCATTCCCCGGAGATTAACAAAGGGTTTTGAAACTGGAAGTGGAGACAAGCAAGTTCAACACCTCACAAAGCAATCCAGTGTCACCTCCCAAGGTGCCAGGCTGCTAGAAGCAAGACACAATTAGCTGTTTCTTAGGAAAGGTTTCATAGCAGAAGTCAGGAATGTAGTACTTCAAGTGAAATAAGATAGGATAAAGTGATATGAGAGCACCTGCAGAAAAATGTTAGAATCAAGATGGCAACTAGTACAGAGTAGTGATAGAGACAGCGGATGCCTACTTTTGGCTCAATAGTTATGTTTTAAAAATTATACTAAAATAATTTTTAATTTTCTTCTTAATATTTCTTTGTAGATCCATATATCTGATAAAAGGCCCATCGCTTTTTAAAAGCTACATTGCTAATTCCAGGGTTGTCTCTTGTTTCTTAATTTTTCAAATTCCTGAAAATGTTTACACTTAACTTGGTGTATACCAAAAGGTAGTATATGCTCCTCCTGGTGGCAGTGACTGGAATTAGAGGCATGTGCCTTTAGAATCATAATTTCCATTCAGAACACTGCTTATTCAATTTAATCATTTTGAGTACATCAAATGTAAAAACACTATCACTGTGTTACATGAAAAATATAGGCAACAATGAAAATGGAAACAAATGTTTATGTCAATTTGTACATAGAAGAAAGGTAAGATTATCTCTGCCCTCAATAAGCTTATAATCTAATTGGAAAGACAAAGCATAAATAACTTATAAATATATGCGTTAAATAAAACTGAAAAATTATATTACAGAGAGAATAAGCAAAATGATATGGTTAATTACTTGCTAAGGAATATAAACCAGAGCTGCTGTTTAAACTGTCCCTCTTCCCCGATCTCATCATCTCCCATAAGGTTCACTGCTATTTTTATCATAGAAAAAAGCATAGTTATATACATTATTCATGTTGAGAAATACTGGCATCAGCTCTAATCACTATGATTCAGGGAGAGAGCACTTCCTATAGTCATAAAAAGCTTCACAACGAAGTAACTAGATGAACTGTCTTTTAAAAATGGACAGTATTTGGATATATATAGAAAAAGAATGAGTTCACTGTATGCAAAACACAGTAAAGCAGTACATGCTGTTTTCCTATCAAACAAATAAAATAATTCTGACAGAATGAGAAGATGTAAGAAGATGGCTGTATTGAGAGTTTAAAAGCAGCCCAAGAGCCTGAATTTATCAATCTGAAATTACTGAAAATTCTATAGCCATAGAATCTGGTAATTAGATCCTGGTTTGAAGAGGCTTTATCTGACAGCAATATGCAGAATGTCTAGGGAATATAGTTGTGGATAATGGTGGTCATGAGGCTAATACAGAAATTCAGGACTGGTAGAGGATCTGATAGAAAATCCAGAAGGTACTGTGAAGAAAAAGAAATTGCTGATCTTGGTGACCAATAGAAAATAGGGAGATAAACATTGAAAACAATGCTTTATTATTACTTATGTGAGAATGGAAACATTATTTACTGGAAAATAGAGGTCAAGAGAAGGTCCAGTTTGGATGATGTCTGATAAGTCCAGCTTTGCAATCTGTATTTAATGAAACAGTATCACACACTAGTAAAAATGTCCAGTAAGAATGCTGGAACCTTTGGAACTCCAAAGAAAGGCTATTGATGTACCTTTGTGAGGCATTCTTGCAGATGTGGTAGTTTAAGCCACAGGAATAAGAAGGAGAAAGAAGAGAAGTCAAGGACTCAACCATAGTTAGTAACAGAAAGGTCGAAAATAAATCAGGAAAGAAGACAAGGAATAATCACCAGCACAGGAGGAGATCTGGTCTATTTTGGTATAGATGGTTCCTATGGATTAGGATATTTCAAGAAGTAAAGTGGATGGTCAACTCTGTTAAAAGCTGTACAGATATCAAAAGAAAGGTGACTACAGGCAGTCCAGTGGATTTCACTGTCAGGAGGTACCTGCTTATCTCTGAGTAAACGAATTTAGTACAGAAAAGACATTAAGTTCCAGGACGTTAAAAAAAAAAAAGAATAGTAGCTGGAGAAAGGTAGAACTAGTGTGCGTAAATTCCTGATTAAGTTTAGCAGTAAATTCAGAGGTATTTTGTGCATTAGAGGAAATATTTAAGTTTATAGTTTTATCTAGAGCAATTCTCAATTATTTGTTCCACTGGAATGGTTTTGAGAACAGATGAGTTGGACTGTTTAAAGAAGAAACAGAGGAGAAACATATCAAGCAAAAATAATATGAAAAGAGAAAGGCACTTAGCACTTCTTTAGTAAATGAGCCTTTTGATTAAATTGAGAATGTACATTATTTAAAAGTGGTGGATATGAGTGGCTATTGCAGATGACACAATCTTGCTTGCTGAAAGCAAAGAGGACTTGAAGCACTTACTGATGAAGATGAAAGACTACAGCATTCAGTATGGATTACACCTCAACATAAAGAAAACAAAAGTCCTCACAACTGAACCAATAAGCAACATCATGATAAGCAGAGAAAATACTGAAGCTGTCAAGGATTTCATTCTACTTGGATCCACAATTAACACCTATGGAAGCAGCAGTCAAGAAATCAAATGACGTACTGCACTGGGCAATTCTGCTGCAGAAGACTTCTTTAAAGTGTTCAAAAGCAAAGATGTCACGTTGAGGACTAAGGTTGCCTGATTCAAGCCATGGTGTTTTCAATCACCTCATATGTATGTGAAAGCAGGACAATGAATAAGGAAGACAAAAGAACAATTGATGCCTTTGAATTACAGTGTTGATGAAGAATACTGAATATACCATGGACTGCCAGAACAAATCTGACTTGAAAGAAGTACAGTCAGAATGCTCCTTAGAAGCAAGGAATGCAAGACTTCATCTCATATACTTTGGACATGTTATCAGGAGGGACCAGTCCCTGGAGAAAAACATCATGCTTGGTAAAGTAGACCAAAAAACCAAACCTGTTGCTGTTGAGTTGATTCCAACTCCTAGCGACCCTAGAGCACAGAGTAGAACTGCCCCACAGGATTTCCAAGGAGCGCCTAGTGGATTCGCACTGCCGACCTTTTGGTTAGCGGCTGTACAAACACTTTGCCACCAGTTTCCAAAACCCATTGCCATGGAGTCAATTCCGACTCATAGCAACCCTACAGGAAAGAGTACAACTGCCCCATAGGGTAGTAAAGCAGAGGGTCAGTGAAAAAGAAAAGACCCTTAATGAGATGGATTGACACAGTGGCTGCAACAATGCGCTCAAACATAGCAACGATTGTGAGGATGGCACAGGACTGGGCAGTGTTTCTTTCTGTTGTGCATGTGCTCGCTAGGAGTCGGAACCAACTCGATGGCACCTAACAACAACAACTGTCTAGCTTAGAGGTTGGAACATGATGCCAATGATGTTGATCTCAATAAATTTGATCCTCATATTGAACAGTTTATTTTGTACAGAGGAAAATCCCACCTTATAACAAGAGATCTCAGTCTTAGCCATCTTAAAATGCTAATAGTAACCAACATCTTCATGGTAGGAACACTGATAAATACCATATTTTGAACAACTGCTATGTGTTAATCACTATTCCAGGTACTTTACATAAATTATTACATTTAAACATATGGTAACATCCAAGGTAGATATTGCATTTAAAATGTGATAGATGAGAAAATAAAGGTAGAGAAAAAAATACTCTTTAAGACTCCATTGTCAATAATTAGCTGACCTACGCTTTGAACTCAGATATGTCTGATTCTACTATGTGCTTCTTGCTATGACTCACTGCTACTATTTCATAAAATAGAACAGACAACACTATGACTCTCCCACTGCTGTGGCAAACAAACAAACAAACACAAACTCTGAGAGCATGTCCTCCTTATGCAGGATGAATAACATCATCTTCTTATACTAAGAATAACACATTTTATGCCCGTTTTCCTCTTAACATATACTGTTACACAACTACAGAGTTCCACAAACGGCCAAATACACAACTTACCTTTCATTCCCTTAAAAAAATGATCTCCTGGCTAGGCAGGTTGTAATGAAAAGGCATGACAAATGAACTAAGAAAAAGAAAACCACACACACGACTTCTTAAGTTTATTCTCTAGCTCCAACAAAAATGACTTAGCAAATTCTAAATTGAGCAGAGGGACTGGAAACACCCACATGTGTCTGCAGGTGTGCTGCTCACGCAATCTATACATTGTACATGGCCAAATAGGCTGCAATTCCCTCAAGAAATTCTAGAAAGCCCATGAACTAAAGGGATGAAACTGTCTCAAGAGGAATGAACACAACATTCCTAAAGTCAAAATAGATGAGGCCCATGATAGAATTACAGACTCACACAGGATTTTTTAATGTGCAAGTTCTGAAAAATGTAACGTTTTATTACTAATCAATTTAACCAATATTAATGAACCAAGCCTTGTGCTTGAACAAAAATAGCCGTGATGTTTTTCATAACTTAGCTTAAAGTCTAGTGAGGAAGGCGAACCAATACATCTAAAATTACAAATGGGATTACAGCTCTACCTTAGGATACACCTACAGAGTGTGTTGCCAAACTAGTCATGCTGACAGGAGACAGAGGTTTTTAGGAAATACTTGCCCAAAGAAGTGATATTTGAGCTAACATCTGAGTGATGGCTAAGAACTAACCAGGCAGAGCTAAGAGGAAACTGATAGACTACATTTGTAAATGTGAAGTGTTAGGAGGGAGCATGATCAGTTTGAAGACCTATAAGAAACATAGAGGAAGTCTAATTAACCACCTGCGTTATGCAGCTGACACAACCTTGCTTGCTGAAAGTGAAGAGGACTTGAAGCGCTTACTGATGAAGATCAGAGACTACAGCCTTCAGTACGGATTACACCTCAACACAAAGAAAACAAAAATTTCCACAACTGGACCAATAAGCAACATCATGATAAACAGAGAAAATATTGAAGCTGTCAAGGATTTCATTTTACTTGGATCCACAATCAACGCCCATGGAAGCAGTATTCAAGAAATCAAATGACGTATTGCATTGGGCAAATCTGCTGCAAAAGACCTCTTTAAAGTGTTCAAAAGCAAAGATGTCACTTTGAGGACTAAGCTGCGCCTGACCCAAGCCATGGTATTTTCAATCACCTCATATCTTCACTGAATGTTTGTCTGTATTCTTCAGCTGTTTCCACGCATATTAAATCACTAAGCAAGAATATTCTAGTATCTTTCAATTTCTTTCATCTTTCAGATTTCATTTCAACTTCTGCAGTATAAAAACATCTCCCGTAACAATCAGACTGAAAAGCTTATTATAATTACATTCCTTAGTTGAAAGTCTAGGAGCCTATTACAGCTAAGTATGTCTTTTCTAAATGAGCGCTGGCAGATTTTGACTTGTGGCACCTGTCACCTTTTTCACAGCTTTGGAGATTGAGATTTTGATCTGCAATTTACCCTGGGCCATAGTTATTTTTAGGATTCAAGAACTTTAGGCTCACTTATCTCTTATTCTGCTGGGGCCAAACAAAAGGTGAGATTCAAACTTCAGATGGCTGTGACTAATTTTCTTTTCTGAAGAACTCTTTTAGCTAGAATGAACTCAGTCTTCCTGGTTATTCAAACATAAAGGACTTGTTCTTTTATTAAAACTAATACCTATTTTGGTCTCAGATTTTATGGTATACTTTTTTTTAACAAGAAAGGAATTTATACTGGAAAAAAATTTACGTTTGTAATAAAGTATACTAATGATGATGAAAATAGAATCAAAAACACTAAAATGGTTCAACAAATACATGTTCAGGTAAGAGACTAATGTGAACACAGAAAGTGTTTGCTTCTTTCCAGTACGCTTGAGGATCTGAGTATAAAGTATTTTCTGTAGTAAATATTTCTGGGTCTATATTTCAGTGTAGATAATATCACTTTTTCTTGTAGATAATTTTAAACATTATAATACATATACCATAATTTCATCTTCATATCTCCTCAGTATTATTATACAATTTACATGAGAAAAGAAAATAAGTGAGGATAACTTTCTGCTCTTAATATATTAGGAACATCATTCTGCAACTTCCGACCCGCTTCTGCTATCTTTTCCACCATGCAATACGGCCATAGACTCACTGTTTCAAAAAACTGATTCCCTTAAAATTTAGCTGAAATATTAAGAAAAATGAAGCAAGTGGAAAGCTGAAAACCTGAAGAATAATATTCTCAGTAGTTGCTTCCGGTTGTTACAAATCATTAGTTTCTGTTAAACGTCATAGTTTGCACTGGAGAATAAATTCTGCAGAAGCCTGGTAACATCAGCCAATGCAAATTAGATTATTCCCTTGCTGCTCTAATTTATTAAATGCACAACAGATGACTTCATATTTTCATTATTGGGAAATCAGCTTGTTAGAATTTCTGGCTCATATCACATGTATTGTATGTCATCTCAAAAAAATCATTCAACACCCATTGTGAAAGTCTTCAATAGAATCAGAACTGTGATTTCTAAATCAAGTTCGATGTAATCTCTGTCCCCAAAGACTTTGGGGATAAAGAATAAAGAACAATTACCTGCTCCTCTGGTGTGATTGAAATCACCTTTAATGATTTTGCATGACTTTCCATTGCCATTGCATACACCACAATGATCTTCCCTTGCAAGAGACCCTAAAAAACCATCACAGCCAACTTTCTGTAACAAAAGAATGACAATACATCACAAAGTGAGTGGTTTTTTCCACTACTCATTTAGGGCAAACCTAGTCTCTACAAAGAGTATTTATATCATTGATAAACTAGTAAAGTGTCATAATCTCTGGTGCAAACTAATACAGCAAGCTCTTTTCTAATAATACAATCTATAAAATGACCAAACAGTAGGACAATGATTTTTCTTGCATTAAGCATTAAATTATATCCAAAGTAATTTCAGAAAAATAATATTACTGAGAAAAATGAAATTTATATAAATCCCAAAGGAAACCACCTTTCTATTAAACATAACATGATTCATCTAATGCATTCTACTCAACACAGAATAGATGTATTTCACTATACGGATGGCTGCAAAGCAAAATACTGAATATTAAATAGTAACTTTGTGAAAAATCTAACATAAACACTCATTTTCACTACAGTTTACTAAAAAACTAGCATCCCCATCTTCTTTGATATGCAGCAAATGAAGAAAGGAGAGCCAGAGAGTTCTGTAAGAACTGCTCACAGCCTGTGGCTGCTATAAGGAATATGAACAGGTGAGGAAGTAATTTTATATGCTCCCAGAAGAATTCTGTTAATATGAACCTTCTGATATTAAGTCAATTGACTCACTTCTAGTGAATACTGTTTGTCTCTCATTGATTTTCAGAAAATATGATAGTTTGCAAAGTTATGCATACTCAAAGAGCAGAATTTACCATGTGGATACAATCAGAAATAGTAGGATTACACATTTACCCTTAAACAAGAAAGATTTGGAAGAGATTGACGATATATCCACTTACAAGTTTCAATTATTTTAGCGGAACTTTTAAAATATTAAATAAAACAAAAGTAAAAACAAAACAGGGTTTGTTCCTCTGGTTAGTGTTGGTGGTGTTGGAGTGACGGAAGTCAGCAAATTATAAAATGCAGCTGTAGGAACAATATCCTGAAAGCAAAAATCACACTGAAACTGCATAATATAGTCTGCCTGCCTTTTGTTAAGAGGGACCTATCAGTGTCAAGAAGTTGACAAAGCAAATGCAATAGAGGAGAACTCTGATCACCAAGTCAAAGCTTATTCAGGGAGAAATAAAGAGAATGTCTGGAAGAAAGAAGTAGCTACCACAGGAAATGCTCAAAAAACAACAAAGGTATGTGAAAAGGACACTTAGCAGGAGCCGTGAAAAGAACTGGGAGCCCCGGGGTGAGAAAAAACAACTCCTCTCCTTCATGTACAAATGGAGAAAAAATTAGAATAGAGCTTAGAGAGATTTCAAAATGATAAAAAGACCTTCATTGCTTTATCCCTAGCACCCAGCTTGTTTCTTGGCAAATAGTAAGAGTAAAATAAATAGTAGTTAAATGAATGAATAAATTTGTACTCAATAGTTCCTTAATTTTTTCTAACTCTTGTAACTGGGGTATTACAAGATGTATAAAGTCAAAGTTAGAGACAGACATATATGCCATAGTTCAATAATCATATTTATTTTTTCTTTTTATTGCGGTAAAATTTGCATTAAAAATTAACCATGTTAAAGTGTAAAATTCAGTGACATTTAGTACATTCACAATGTTGTGCAACCATCATCTCTATCTAGTTCTAAAACATTTTCATCACCCCAAAAGGAAACCCTGTACCCACTAAACCAGCACTCTCCTATCTACAGCCCCTGCAAATCACTAATCCGCTTTCTGTCTCTATGGATTTATCTACTCTGGATATTTAAGTAAAATTGTATAGTACGGATCTTTTGTGTCTGGCGCTTTCACTTAGCTTAATGATTTCAAGGTCCATCCATGCTGAATCATGTATCAATGCTTCATTGCTTTTTATGGTTGAATAATATTCTTTTGTAAGGATATACCACATTTTGTTTATCCATTCATCTGTTGATGGACACTTAGGTTGTTTTCACCTTTTGGCTATTGTGAATGGTATTGCTATAAATATTCATGTACATGTTTTTGTTTGAATACATGTTTCCAGTTCTTTTGGGTATATGCCTCGGAGTGGAATTGTTGTGTCATATGGTGGTTCTATGTTTAACTTTCTGAGAGTGCCAAACTATTTTCCAAAGCATCTGCACCATTATACATAAACCTAAGCGAGATCCAATTTTTCCACATCCTCACCAACACTTATTTTCCAACTTTTTATTATAGTCATCATAGCGCCATCCTATGAAGTGGTATTTTATTGTGGTTTGATTTGAATTTCCCTAATGAATAATGGGGTTAAACATATTTTCATGTAAATAACCACACATTTTTAAGATAAAAATTGGAGGTTTTGTATTTTATAATTGGTTGCTTCAAGTATCCCCACTTATCAAAATATGCTCACATAAATCCAAAAGTTGATAAATTACTTTAAAAAGGCAACACTGTTTAACTGGTGGGTGGTATCTGCAGTACCACTGGCACGCTGGAGATAGGCAGGTAACATAGTAACACAGGGTGGAGATGTCCTCATCCTTTTCAGTGATGGAAGCTTCACAGAGACAAACTGGGTCTCCAGAAGAAACCTGTTTTCAATTGCTCTCCTTAGTTCAGTCACCAAGTTTAGAATTCTACATTCAGCTTTTGTGCTATATATTTTGTGATAAAACAAAACATTCTAGGCAACCCCAATATACAGAGGGTCCTCATGAAAAAAAAAGGTATGCTTTTAATTATATTGAAAGACTAAATGAAACACTTTAGTTAAAAAGCCAGAATCTTGAAGTATTCCAGTGTCATCAGAAGTCAAGTCATTTTAATTATAATCATCAGATTCAAATAGCATGTGGCAGATTTTTTGATGTTGTTGTGTAATTTTAATGTCTAGTCAGGGACTCTGTAGAATATCTGGCTTATACAATACTGTTAAGTGGAAAGCATAGCAATTTAGGCTATTATAGTTGGCATATACAGTTAGGAAAATAATTTTTGTTTAAAAAACATATTCATTGAAGACATACACTGATTTGACAGATTTACATATAACGCTGAAATGAACTTTAAATCTTTTATTGCGCAACAGGAAGTTCTGAAAACAAAACGTACACAGGTAAAATACCTGCCATGATTTTTTATAGACAAATGAAAAATCACATTTCAGATTACTGCCGTATTGTGCTAAAAAATAAAGGAAGTTGATATGTAATTATAAGACTGTTTCTTATGCCAATGGTATTACACGATTCTGTGCTTTAAACTTTACAGCATACTGGCAAAATACAGATGCTTGGAGCTGAGAAAGCATTTAGGTCTCATGTTTTTCCCAGGGTCTTAATCAGAAGTCCATTGGACTTACTGGACTTCTGATTGATCCATCCATAACTTGCAACTGTTTATAAATATTGGGGTGTGTACGTGTGTGTGTGTGTTCAGGTGTGCATTTTTGGGGGGGGGGGCACTATTTTCTCAATTTCTCCAAATGAGCATGTAACACAAAAAGGTCAGTGACCACTGGTCTAACAAGCTCATTTTATAGATTACTTAATGGGTGCATACAGATTTTAAGTGGTTCGCTCAAGAACACAGTTTCTTAGTAGCTGTCGTGGATTCTGCCCATATACACCTTTCATTACTAAAGGATTTATTTTCCCTGCTCCTGAGAAGGCTACAAAGTGATGGCTCTCAGCTATCCACCCTCTTCAGAAATTGCCTAGCCTGAAGAAAACTGCCTTTCCCAAAGTCACATCTCCTTCTAGGGCAGCATGCATCCAAACAGTAGGAGAAGCCAGGTAAAAAAGGCCTGGTTTTCTCACCTCAAATGGTGACAACCCTGAAGAGCCATCCCAGTTTAAGGGCTCCCCATGGGGTCAGCTGAGGTCTTACTGTGACTGCAGCACAGCCCAATTTCCCCCTCTGCCCAATCTTTTTTCCTTCCCCTTCCTGCACAGATGCTGACCATGAGATCACTCCATGTTGTTGCTGTTGTTGTTAGGTGCTGTCGAGTTGGTTCCGACTCATAGCTACTCTATGTACAACACAATGAAACACTGCCCAGTTCTGTGCCATCCTTACAACCGTTGCTATCCTTGAGCCCACTGTTGCAGCCACTGTGTCAATCCATCTCGATGAGGTCTTCCTCCATGTTAATCTGCCCCAAAACCAGTCAACTCTGACTCATGTCTGTGTTAGAGCAGAACTGTGCTCCGAAGGGTTTCAATGGTTGATTTTTTCAGTAGCTTGCCAGACCCTTTGTTCTAAGGCATCTCTGGGTGAATTCAAACTTCCAACCTTTTGGTTAGCAGCTGAGCACATTAACCATTTAAATCACCCAGAGACTCTGTGAACCTGCCAGGGGAAGTCAACTTGAGAAAGTAACAGAGCCATGACTAACAGTTTCTAAGTTCTATTTTGATCTTTTCACTATGCTGCACATATGCCAACGGAATTTGCGATTTTCTAAAGATAAAGGAATAACACACATGAATAACACACAGTAAATGGAGATTATTTTTCAAAAGGAAGAGAAACACAAACAAAATATTTAAACATTATAAAAAAATCGAAGACATATTTAAAAAGCAGTTGGTTCACTTGTGTTGAGAAGATTTTAATGTTGAGTGAGTAATAGGGCTGATTTTATAGGTTTTTGCCACATGGCTCAGTCTTGGACACAGGACATGGAGAAATGGAGTGCTTGAATTTTTGGTCTGGAATGTTTTGACATAAAATGCATGGTAGTGTTCCAATTTTAGACCTACAATATATACATTACAGAATAAAAAACTCTCAGATTCTTCCAGTTAATAATGGCTTTCATGAATTATCTACTACAATCCCTTCATCATACAGATGAAGAAATGTAGTTTCATAGTAGTTCAGACTTGCTCAAGGTCAAAATAGAGTCAGGACTGCACTCCTGTATTTTGAAGTTTGGTCCAGAGCACTTCACTACACATTGCAGTTCCTCAACGGTCCCATAGTCTTCACTCAACATATAAATTATCCCTTTTGGAATGGCTTACCTGGCATCTACCATTTGCACAGACATCTAATCCCTGATTGCCACAAGAAGTTCCATCCATCACTTTTTCTGATAGAAGAATAGGGTGTTCTTTTCCAACAGGTGAGCAAAACAGGGCACATGGTTTTTCTACATATAGAGTGAATAGAAAGAAATGAGTAAACGTTACTCTGTTAATATTTTTATCTCAAACTTTATTTTTTCAGAACAATTATTGGGTAAAAAATATGATAGATGTTAATTGTGTAATGTAATACTAGAGGATTATTGTACATATTAAATGAGATAATGCCTAGAAAAAAATTAGTTACATAATGCATATTAATCTTCCACCTTAAAAAATCTAGCTTCAAATTACCTTGTAAAATGTATCATTTATTATTCTCTAGTACATATCTTCAACCACACACAAACCAATCATTCTCCCTGTAAAATATTTTGCATGCTCCTACTTTTGGCTCGTTTCTTCTGAAATGATCTCCCCCTCCTCTTGAATACACATCAGAGTCTACCTATTTTTCAAGTCCTGGCTTAAGACTTACTTTATCCATAAAGCTTTCCTTGATGTTCAACTTGTACATTCCAATACACTATTTTTCTCTCCTATGCATTTGACATTTTCTAATTGAAAAACTACTAAGAACCTATGAGATAAGCTATTCTCATAAGCTTTTCCATTTATTAAGATGTTCAGACACACAATACAATTCCATGAGAGCATTCTCCCTTATACACCATTGTTGATGCACTAGCTGGGATTCAAACCCCCTTTACCGCTTACTCAGGGAGTATTTCATTACGTACGATATCTAGTTGGAGAACCACTTCTTGAATGGCTGGGAGTCTTCTTCAGTGCAATAATAAGTGAACAACTAAGTAGAGTGGTCAGGGTTAAAACACTTGCCTCAGTCAAAGAGTAGCAAAATATTTTTAAAGTGTTGTTTCTATTTCTAAGCCTCCTACAGAGCAGCTGTAGTATTTGGTAACACCAGCAGTAGGAGTATCCAAATCTGAAACTTCAGAGCAATTTCCATGCTACATTACTAATCTATTGGCTTAACACCAGCCAGGTCCTTTACTGTTTATTAGCTCGTATAAATAGAATGGAAAATAGTTTACAGTCTCTGACACTGATCTTAGCTTATGTCTTCAGTAAAGTTCCACGTATGCTGATGGGATTCTATAAATACCAAATAACAGTCAGAGGCACAGAACAGGGCATTGCTTTGCAAAGAGAAGACAGTTAAATGAGCCTTCAGAATTGAACATTTCAAACAGTTTTCACATGTGGCTTCTGAATACGGCTCTGAACAATTCTCGGGAGTTGGAACATGGCCTTTCATGTGAATGGTTTTGAAATTTTCCTTTAAGATGGCATTATAAGCCACAATAAAGCATTTCAGTGTGCTCTCACACCTCAAAGTAGGTTATGTTTATTCAATGACTGCTTACTATGTCATATCTTTGGGCTTAAAAACAGCTGGTATAATTAAAGCACTTTAGATGTGGTATATATAATTTTCTTTCTGGAGTTTCCACTGAAGAGAAGGGTAAACCAGATATATGAATAACGTTAAAAGGAGTTGGTTTTCTAGAAAACGCCATTCACATTCCAAGCAAGAATTCATATAAAATTTTTGTATTTCTCCTCTTGTAATATATTGTCAACACACTCTGCTTACTTTAGCTCTACAGATGAAATAAACATTTGATACCAAACTTCCTTCCTGGAGTATACCCTCAAGACTGTGACACTGTAGTGATCCATGTAACACACCAGCACTTGGCAGGCAGGCTCTGTCCTGATTTAAGAGATCAATCCTTCCAAGATATGCATTAGACTCGAATTTCAGCACTGAGTATGTAAAATACCTGGATGTTAAGGCCATGTATCTCTTTTCTCTTAAATTAAGTGTTCACTACTATATTAGTATCCTACATTTAATCCTTCTAGCCATGGATTCATGCATTACATAAGAACATGGCAAAAATAGCTACTTGCATTGTATAGGTGTCATAATGTTAAGAAGGCCTGGAATATTTTTAAAGGATTGTATATTTCAATTTCTTCTATAGCACAAAGGCTAATTACTACTGTGTATCCTATTCATCATACAGATTGACGTGTGCTGCAAAATATAAATAGCTACTATGGATCACTCTGGTGATAAATATCTCTTTATAAGAGTTAAGAGCTTCTTTAATTGTGATTTCCAACAGCTTTAACATTTTAAATTGACCCCCTTCAATCTCTGATTTTTTTTTCTTTTCTAATCCTGAGGGAACCTGAGATCATCTGTTTCCTGTCTCTTTTTCATATATGAGAAAATATGTTCCAAATGAGTTTAACACTATCAAGATCTTACAGCCAGTTAGAAGGAGAGATGGGATTAACTCTCAAATGATCAGGAAATGAATTCATAATGTGAAGAGTCATATTGATTATATGTTTAGCACCAAAAAATAATGGGTATGTATTCAAATTTATGCAACAAATATTCATTGAAGCTTAATATATGCCAGCCAGTATTTTAGGCATAGACATTAGGTGGGATACAGACATGTTAAAATATGCTATAGCAGGATGATTTTGGAGTACCTAGAAGGAACACATAACCCATCTGAAGAGTTAGAGGGATTTGTTTTTCCTAAAGGAATTGATATAAACTGAGTCTAAAAACTTAAAAGGGGCAGCTTTCAAGGTAAATACATGGGGAGAAGGATCAAAGATTGAGAAGGAAAGAATATTATGCCAAAAAAGTAACATGTATGGGCCTACAGGTATGAGAGTATGAAGTATCTGAAAGACTGAATAGGATCTGGGTGGTGGTACTGGAGAACTCAAAAGGGAATGGATAGAGATAAAGCACAAGAAGCTCAAGAGGTCCAGCCACAAAATGGCCTTGTAAAGCAGGTAATGAAGTTTGAGATTGGTCTTGAGATCAATGGGGTTTACAGAAGGGTATTTCTTAGGGCAATGACTGACAGATCTGGCCATTCAAAAGGCCAGCGCAGCAGAAATGAGGAGTAGAGACTAAAGTAAGGTGAGACTGTGGTCAGAGAAACCATGAGGGAAGCTGGTTGAGGAATACAGATTAGAGATGATGAAATCATGAGTATACATGCTGGCAGTAGGGACAGAAAGGTTTAGGCAAATAGGGCTTGCTGAATGATGAGATGTAAATGGATACTGAGGAAGAAGGATTCTGACTTGGCTTGATCGATCAAGTTCATCACAATGCCACTCTCTGTGAGAGAGCACAATAAAAAGAGAAGATGGCAGGAGTGGGAGAGAAAGGAAAGGGAAAGAGGGTGTGTCCAATCTGGGGGTGTTGGGTTAGAGGTGAATGGGATACTGAGTGGAGATGCCCATGAAGCAGATGGATAAGCAAATAAGGAGCTCAGAATAAGGAGATCTGGGGTGGAGATAAATATTTGGGTTCCATTATAATACAGATGATAAGTAAAACCTAAAGAAAAGTTAAGGCTATCTCAAGGAGAATGCTCAGGGAAAAGAGAAGAGCACCCAGGGAAGATCACTAGAAAAATTCCTGTTGTTCATTCACCTAATATTTTTTAAGTGCCTACTCTGTGTCAGATAGTTTTAACTGGTAAAGATACAGCAGTGAATAAAATATGACAACAAGCTCTGCTCTTCTAAGTATTACTCAGGGGGTAGATAATAAACAAATAATATATAGAAATATTATGTCTAATGGTGATAAATGCTGTGGAAAAAAAATAAAGCAGAGGAAGGAAAAAGTATTGAGTTAATATTTAAGAAAAACCTAAAGAAGTTGAGGGAGTGAGCCATGCCAATATCTAGGGAAAGCATTTCAACAGGGAGAACAATAGCTGCCAAGGTTGTGAGACAGAAGTTTACCTGACTTATTCCAGGATAAGCAAGGAAGCCAATGTGGCTAGAAGAAAACAGTAGAAAATGAAGTTAGAGGGCAACAGAGAGTCAGATAGTAGAAGAACTTACAGTCCATTAAAAAAACTTTGGAATTTTACTCTGAGCAAGTTGGTAAGTTTTTGGAAGGTTTTGAGTGGAGGAATAATATGATGTGATTAGCATTTTAAATGTATCACTCTGGATGTTCTGTTTGGAGCTCAAAGGGAAAATGTGGCTGGAAACATAAATTCATAAGTTATTTGCATATCTGAAGTCACAGATACGGATGAGGTCACTTAAGAAGAAAATGTAGAATGAAAAGAGACTAGGGTTTAGGATAGAATCTTGAAGAATTTCAATGTTTAATGGTGAGGTGGAGGAGACAGATCAACACAGTAGAAGACAAATAAGTCAGAGATACAATAGGAAAGTCAGGATAGTTCTGTGTCATGAAAACCAAGGCACACGACCATTTCAAGAATCAAGAGGTGGTCAACCCTTCAAGTGCATTTGAGAGGTCAATTAAGAAAAGGACTAGAAACTATTCATTCATTAGGTTTAGTTTCCATGGGAGTCCTCAATGACCTCAGTGAGATTTTTGCTGGTGGAATGACTAAATAGAATTCAGATTGAAGTGAATAGAAAGTAAAGAAAGGGAGAGCTGGAAAACAGACGGCTCTTTTGGGAAGACTGGCTGTTGAGTAGAGAAAAATAAAAGTGTATTAGCTGGAGGTGGCATGAGGAAAGGCTGTATTTTTTAATGATAGAGTCCTAGATGTGTTTAAATATTGAATGTGAATGATGTAGCAGAGAGGGATTAAATATATAAGAGAAAGTAGAGTCAATGAGTGAGATACCTCAAAAGGGAAGACGGGGATGGCACCAAGTGCATGGCTGAAGGGACTGGCCTTAGAAGTGAATAAATCTTTTCTGTCATAGTAGAAAGTGGATGGAATTTCTACAGATAGAAGTAGGCTTACGTATTTGATAGTGAGAAGATGAGAAAGTAATCATCAATGAATGCTCTTTTTTTCCATTAAGCAGTAGAATAGTCTGCCTGTATACTTGGAGGCTTACAGAAAGAACAGGGTTTTGCCAGATGGGTGAGTTGAAATTGAGGAACAATGGAGTTTAGTCTATTGACGAGAGTGTTACTGAAATGAAAAAAAGAAAAAAGTCCAAATTGACTAAGAAGGGGAATAGAGAAAGGAAAGAGTAGAGGCATAAAAGACCAATGAACTCACATAATCCATTACTACTTTGTTACTGCGGCACAAAGCAACAGCCTACTGACCATGGGCAACTTGTATCATTCTTAGCCAATGAGACATGATATTCTTTTCTTAAAAATCTTATTTTGAAATAATTAGAGATTTATATAAAGTTGTAAAAATAGTACAGGGAGATCCCATGTACCATTTATGGAGTTGCTTCAATGCTTACACCTTGATAACTATAGTACAATAGCAAACCAAGAAAACTGACTTCATGCCATTTTCTCACATATATAGATTTCTGTAAGCACCACCACAATCAAGACACCAAACTATTCCATCAGCACAAAGATCTCCCTCTAGCTACCCGTTTATAATCACACCCATTTTTTCCCTGCCACCTTGGAAACCCTGGTGGCGTAGTGGTTAAGAGCTATGGCTGCTAACCAAAAGGTCAGCAGTTCAAATCCACCAGCCACTCCTTGGAAATCCTACGGGGCAGTTCTACTCTGTCCTATGAGTAGGAATCAACTTGACAGTAACGGGTTTGTTTGTTTGTTTTTTTCCCTAACCCCTGGAAACCCCTAATCTGTTTTCCATCTCTATAATTTTATCATTGCAAGAATGCTATATAAATGGAATCATATAGTATGTGGACTTTTGAGATTGGCTTTTCTCAGCATCATGCCCTTGAGATCCAACAAGCTGCTGCATGAATTAATAGTTTGTTCCTTGTTATGGCTGAGTAGTATTCCAAGGTTTGAACTTACTACGTTTGTTCAACCACTGAAAGACATTTTGGTTGTTTCCAGTTTTTAGCTATTAAAAATAAAAGTGCTATAAACATTCGTGTACTGGTTTTTGTGGGGATGTACATTTTCATTTCTCTAGGATAAATGCTCAGGAGTGCAATAAGAGCTATGGCTGCTAACCAAAAAAGGTCGGCAGTTCGAATCCACCAGCCGTTCCTTGGAAACCCTATAGGGCAGATCTACTCTGTCCTACAGGGTTGCTATGAGTTGGAATTGACTCAAAGACAACAGGTTTTGTTTTGGTTTTTTTTGGCATGACAAGTGTATGTTTAGTTGTCTAAGAAACTGCCGCACTATTTTCCAGAGTGGCTCTACCATTTCACATTGCCACCAGGAAGGTATGCCGCATGCAGTTTTTTCTTATCCTTGCCAGTATTTGGTAATGTCTCTATTTTTTATTTTAGCTGGTCTCATAGGTGTGTACCAATATCTCATTATAATTTTTTAAAATATATTTTTAGTCAGTGTTTGTGGTTTTTATGTCCATAAAAGTAGAACAGAGTTTTGAAATACCTAGAAGATAATCAGTAAAATAATATTTACTATTACCATAAAACACCTTGCTAAACTAGAAGCCTACTTAATTGGTGATCTGGTTGGCCATACCTTCATCCATGACAGCGTGCCACTGAAGTACAGGCTTTGGGTACGAAGTTCTAACACTAAAGGCCTGACATTGCCAGTCTCTGAATCCAGGCAAACCTGCATGACAAGGTGGATTCTCACATATTCTGTATTGTTTTCTGGGACCATTACAATCCCTTGCTTCAGTACCTAGCCTAGAAAAGATAGTACAAATAATCAATTTTATCTTTGCTTTTTATGTTAACTCTCCATTAAAAAAAATTAAAAACCATTATATTAATAATGTATAAGCCTTTATATTAAAATCTACTTTTGAAAATGTGAACATATTAAATAATTAGTAATAGTAGGGAATACATATGTTTAATATATATGTATATGTATATATATGTGTGTGTGTATGTTTTAACCCTTGATTAATTTACCTTCCAAAATACATGAGGACTAAAATGCAACTTGCCCTGAATTTGCTACAGAGGACTGCAGGGCAGAGGCTGGGCGCAAATAGAAAGGCTACAATTCCCAAAAAGAGGTTTGGTGCTTAGAATCATTAAGGAGATACCGCTAATGTTTTCATATCAGTTCTAGGCTCTAAAATTGCTTGTGAGGAACTTTGCCACAGTCCTCCACACAAATGAAGTTGAAACATACAAGTGGAAACAAGTTTCTCACAGACTTGCCTAGGACCTACCCTAGGAATGACGGGGTTGAGCACGTTGGTCTTATAATACATTCTTGTCTGTGTATGTGCTACTCTTGATTTGTTTTTCATCATTCTTAGCTTTTATAGTCTATTAATGTTGTTCTCATCCCAACCTCCTTCCTAAACACCCATCATCTTCCTACTCTTCTCACAGTTTCTTAAAATGCTTACCAAATTTTCCTAATATGTCTCCCTGCTTATTTAAGTACAAAATTTTACTTGATTTGCTCAGGAAGTCATCCTTCTTAGCTTTTAATTCTTTATTCTTAGAAGGGCTGGTCTTTATTTTCTTTTTAGGAGGAAGTTTTTATGTAAAGTAAATAATTTGAGGGGTTTTTCTGCTTTCCGAAATGGAGTAGGGTTTGACTGGCTTCTTTGGCTATCCAACATGGTTTATCAGTAACACCTCTGCCTTTCAAAACTGAAGAAAAAGTGCCCTCCCCCAAACCAGGAACTTTGCTTTTACCCAGGACATATGCGCTCGCGACTGCTGATCCCAGAACTGCAGGTTCGGCTACAGGGGCTCCACATGCTCCACTCTCCAGCCAGTTGTCCAGGTGCTGAGGTCCTGCTGGTACATTCTCCAGCCTTACACCACTATTCCAAAAGTTATGTCTTAGGTGAACAAATCAGGGTACAACTGAAAATCATTCACTGGCCTATACAGTCACTGGAAATGCAATTAAGTCAGGTCTACTAGATTCCAAAACATGTGGAATTGAAAAACACCAAAAAACAAGTTGACACTTGCTTTTTACCATCGTAACATAATGGCCCAGTTCTCACAATTCTCATGTCAGATCAAACCATCTTATCATGAAAGCAGAGAATGAATATCTGTTACTGTAAACCTGAGAATTCAGTCCTTTTGACTGAGACTGGGTGAAGGTGATGGGGAAGGAATTTGGGGTTGCATAGGCAGAAAAGAAAATCCAACACATTCTAAAAAAACAGCAATTTAAAAGGAACAAACACAGAAGCATAGAGCACCAGTCATACATAAGAATGGAAAATGAGAAATAAATGTGCTTCTATAACTTGGTTTAAGAAGACATCTTAGCAAATTTAGCAATTTTGATTTGAAATGCCAGTAATTCAGGATATTTTCTTTCCTTATATCTAAACAAACAAACAAAGACTGAATTTTAGCCCTCCATGTTTTCCCTCCTGAACGAGTTCCTATCAAATTCAAGCATTAACATCATACCAAGTTCTCTTTTAAAAAGCCAAGTTTGTTGGAAAGACTTGAGCAATTAGACTTTTTGAAATTCTGTTATTTCATTCCAATTACTCTGTAGTTTATTTGGTATCTATCAACTGGGAAAGAAGGGTAAGGGGTGTGGTCATTCTCTTTTTTTTATGTTTTCATTGACTTTAAATAAAGGCATGAAAGAGATTGTTTCTGCAGTCACCAAGGAATGGTTGTCAAAGCTTAGAAGACAAGATTATTGTAACTTCTCCTTTTTTCTGGAAAAAAAGGTAGATGATGGCCACAGCAAATATCTCAATGGTAAAAACTAACTGAAAAAAAAAATCATGTTGAAAATAATAAGATTAGAAACATTAAGATTAATGACTGCATAATGATGGGGTTCAGCAAACTGATCCATTTAGCTCTATAAAATTTTCTGTATTTCATGGCAACATGATTTATAAGGGATTTTGGGAAAATTACAGAAACTAATTCTCAGCTTTTCCATTTCCAAAATGTGAATGATAATATATTTACCTAATAGCCTTTCTACAAGAGTTAAATGAAGCACTAACAACAATGGACAGCACATACTAAGCATTTGGTAAAGCTTAATAAAAATACAAAATTATTATATGTATTATTGTATTCAGGTTATTAATAATATTTCAGTAATCTAATAAAAATTCTGTTAATTCTGATCTTTATTAATATTTCTTTAGAATTTACTTGGAGAATATATATTTTTAGAAGAGAGAATATAGAACATTATGCTGCATAGTTTGAGTCCAGTTAATGCTTTTATATGCAATAAAATAATTAGTCCTTGCAGATTTTCTCTAATACTGCTAGCATTTAAATTCAATCTCTTTTAGATTCAAAAAGTTTTAAATCTAGGCTTGGAAAAAAAAAAACAACTTAACTTTGAGTCTATCAATATGCCAATATTAATTGTCATTAAAGAGATTGGGGTTTTGTACGAAGATACAGTCTGACAGTTGGAAAAGGGCGGGGGGAATAGGCCAAGTTAAACTTTTAAAATTACTTACTGGTTTTAATGACTTAACAATGTTACGTCACTCATTAAAAAAAAAAAGAAAAATCGAATGTGAAAGCTGTCAAACTTCAATTGGTCTAATTGTTTTGGACTACTTGCTATTACTTCCCTATGTGTATCATAGCTCCTTGCCCATTTAGCACCAATCTGGCACTGAAAAGATGTGCTGAAGTTCACAGCAGGCTGAAAATATTCTGGGAAGGAACGGGATCTAGACCTGCACAGCATCAAAGTTAGATCACATTCTGGCAGATGAAAAGAAATGGAAACAGATATACAAGCCAATCTGCATATACAAATCCAGTGAAATTCAAAGCAAAGCATAGTATAATATTTAAAGATTATCACCTTGCACATACCAGATCTCTGGATGAAACTAGGGGAAATGTGTTTTTGTGTTCTAGATAGTGCTGTGCTTCAGCAATGAGGAAAATGTCAAATGTTTTGTTCAAATGACTATTAAATATTATTGAGTTTCTATATGAAATGATGCTAAGGATGCTTTTCATAAATTTTCTAGCAGCATTTCTTGTTTCATATAATATTTACAGTTTTCAGTCTCAAAAATGACATTGTGTGTGGTTTATAAAACTCAAAATTTGTCATTTCTACTAAGACAGTCTTATTTGTGAAAATGCTAACAGATATATATAATATAGACTATTTCTGGGATAGTCGATGACATTGACTATATTTCTATTCTATTCTTCCAAATTTTTATGTGACTATGTCTAGGAAGTTCATGAAAATACATGATTGAAAGAGGTTCATGAAGATGTCAAAAGAGCCTGATTATTCTCTAATTAAATTTCACTCACACATGTTGGAAGAAAGACAAGGAAGAAGGAAGGCAAAAACCTCTTCAAATATGCACATTTGTGAAAGGATATTACAGTCCTCATTATTTTTAATAACGAATCATAATGACAATTTCAATTTAGGTAAATAAATGACCAAAATATATTACATAGACTCTGACAAAACAATCTAAAGTTCTAGTAAATTGGTATTTAACTCCCCTCCCATCCCCATTCCTAGCAAACACTGCAAGTAAAAAACATAATTTGTTGGTTTTTACTATCATATATCAACTCTTTAATCTCTATTAAATGTAAATGTAAACACAGATGACAGTATTATGAAGAGAAAGGGGAAGAGAGAAAACAGATTGTTTTTCATTCAGTAAATTCATGTTTATAAACAGTGTATAAATTGCTACCTTCAAAATAATTTTGAATCATACAATTCTGCAGGCACCTTCTCAAACTTCATTATATAGTCAAATGAACTAGATTTATGCAGCTAGATTAACATCACTACAGTGTTATAAATTACAAAATCTCCAGCTTCGTTTCCTGGTTTGCAATCTACTGAGCTAGCAGTGTTTAGGGAGAGGTTGCAAGCATTCAAATATTTTAGCACTGCCGCACTCAACAGCAGAGGGTTGGAAGCTGTTTGTATGATGGCTGCTAAAATAGCTGGAACAGATGGACATGTGAAGAAGCCCACATGGCCTGAGGAACTGAGAAGTTTGTTAGTTATTTCAATACACAAAGCATAATAGAATCACTGAAAGAATATCATTAACACAATTATAAGGAAATAAAACACTTTACACTTAATGAGTTATTGCTGTTTTGATTGCTGAAAGAATGAGTTTATTTTAGAGACCTTAAGTCTGCTGGTCATTCTTATAAATATGAAAAGACAAAATTATAGAAAATATTTAGCATGCCAGATTATAAAAATGAAGATATTTTATATTGCTAGAGAGGAAGTTAAGTAAGATGGATGGATGGTGGGACGTTTGAGGAATTACAGCTAAATATTTGGTTATCTCTGTTTATTACCGTTTTCGTGTTTGAGGGATGATGAAAATTACTGCTCATGCAGTTTTATGACTCAAGCAATAAATTACTCAGCATAATAGATGAGGCTTGCCCTATATACACACTTAGTTATATTTTTGTGTATTATTTTAAAAAAAGAAAGGCACAGAGGCCCAAATACTGACCTACCATTTAAGCTCGCAGAAAAATATTTGGCATAGTCTGTAACCAACTGATTGATATTTCACAGAAGTTCCCCTCCAAGGAACCATTTTGTTATTGATAGTCACTAGTGATAAAACTCTTCTAGTCTTTAAGACAATTTTCGGGGGATTTAAACAATTTGTACCTTTTTAAAATTAAAAAAATTATAGATGTAATAAATGACTACACTACTACATTCAAACAATTCAGAAAGTATGGAGAACAGTTAAATTCACCCTCATCTCCCAATGCCTTACTCCCATCCATCAATTCTACTTCCCTTCCAAGACGTAACCACTAATCACAGCATGGATTTATATTATCAAACCATTTACTCGGAGTTTACAAATACTTTGTGTATGTGTGTGCGTGTGTGTATTCACATCTGTATATAACTGCTTTTTTTTCCCTTTATATCTCAAAAGGTATCATAGAGCATGAATTTTTCTGACATGCCAATGCACTAACAGCCATGTCTTGTAGATCTTGCCATAGTAGTATCTACATATTTACCTCATTTTTTTAAACTGATACACTGTTTCACCATTCTCTACTGATGAATATTTGTGTTGTTTTTAATTTTTTACCATTGCAAACTGCATCCACATATAAGCATGGGTGTGTGTGTGTGTGTGTATTTGTGCACATGTATATTTCATTAGGAGTCCTGGTGGCACAGTGGTTAAGAGCTCAGCTGCTAGCCAAAATGTCAGCAGTTCGAATCTACCAGCTGTTCCTTGGAAACCCTGTAGGGCAGTTCTACTCTGTCCTATAGAGTCACTGTGAGTTGGAACCGACTCGACAGCAATGGGTTTGGTATGGGTTTTACATTTCATTAAGACAAATTTCTAGAAGTTGAATTGCTAGATTTCAGTTCATTTTTCAAATTGATTTTTTTTAAATAGCACCCCACATATTTTTCCCCAAATAATTCACACCAGGTAATCTGAAGATGTTTAATATTGTTGTTTCTTTTCAAATGTAATGAAAATTCATGTTCTTCACAGGCAAGGTTTCTTATCTTACATTGAATGACTAAATATGACCATTTCACATGCATTTCATTGAACAGAAATTAGACAACTATGTAAACTATTGATCTGTTGTCTCTTAATTACATTAGCCCTAATTATAAGTGCATATGGGATCTACCTGACTTTATATTCTTTGAAAGTAAATTAATTTTTCAAAAGCAATTATTTTTATCCAAAAATGTATGCTAATAAATTCCTATAGCCTTACAAAACACATTAAACAACTTAGAAAACCAAGTATTTACTAATCTCCAAAATGTCAACTGGAATATTTTACTGTTGCTTAAATTGACAAGGAAAAATTATTGACACTCAGTATCTTTCCTAAGACAATATTTTATACCCAAAAGGATTCATCAGCTCTGAGTAGTTTTATTAACTATTCTGTTATTTGTGCTTATTTTACTTATGCTTAATTTAAGTAGCAAAAGTTATATGAATTAACTTTGTTGTCCAAATCATACATATATCTGACTCTCAACATTATAATGATCAACAACAATAGAAGTAACTACATTAGTATTAACAAAACAACCACAAATTTGTAACAAATATAAAAAGATCAAATTAAAAACAGGTGAAATGCTGAAATTTTTTTATATGTCGAGAATATTCCATCACTGTTGAGATAAAAACATGTAACTAGCAGGAGAAAATCCCCAAAGTAAATTCAAGTTTCTTGTTTCATTTACTATTCTTATTCACTTCAAGAAAGACCAATGACTTACCTTACCAGGATCACAATCAGTTCCATCCATCGGTGGATCTAGTTTGGTTCTGCATTCTTTCTCACCTTCTACCTTACACCACAACCCTGTGCAAATAACATGCTGAAAAAAGAGCAGAAGAACTAGTAAGGGAGGGTATAAGTCAGTATTTTTTGAGAAAGTCATTTGGCTAGAACAACTGAGATTAGTTGAAGAAAATATGCTTTAGGTAACTTTTAACATTAAACTTATATTTAAAACAGTGTATGACATAGTGATGGAAAGACAACTATATGCAAAAACAAAAAATCTGTTTAATAAAAGTAAATTCTTTAATTTCTTTACATAAAACACATGTGGTTATGCAAGATACGTTAGCTACAACAGAATAAGATAAGCTAAATTAATTATTCATTCCATGTGAACCAGGCTGTAAGAGCAGGTGATTCTGTTTGTGGTATGAATTGAGCACTTCCTGCCCTAAAACACATCCTCACTCAAGCTCTGTTTTATCCTTAAATTCCACAATTAGTACTTTATTATTATATCACATAGGTTGGGCCCTTGACACAATACAGTGACTCTTAGTAAGTATATTTTTGTAACTTGTTATCAGTCATTTTTACCTCAGTGTAAATGAGCTTTAGATTTTCAGGATACAATAAACTTCTGTAGGCACAAGTTGAAGGAAATTAAAAAAAAAAAAAAATATTCTGGGATAAAGCAGCAGAGAAAAAGTGACAAATAAAGAAGAGAACTTTGAGGAAACTCTAGAGGAAAGAGTATCAGAAACCTAAGCCACAGGTATACTTGTAGCCAGTCCAGAGCCCTGTATTTTATTTACACACACACACACACACACACACACACACACACACACACACACATATATAATGAGGCACAATGCAACATTCTAAAAGACTTTTTATTTGTATTTGTTTCACAGACACAAGCATATCATTAACAATCTGCATGGAAATCTAGAATCCATGAGGAGACTGTAAAGGTGATTAGGATATTTAATCTGTAGTGAAAATGACTGTATTACTCTTTATTCAGATATAAGGAGAGAAGGGTGGAAGACATTTGTATGAGGGAACAGAACAGGTCAATAGAGACGGAAAACGTGGCAACGTGAGAGAAGTAGTCATGAAAGGATGAGAAGACCAGTGTAAAGGGAGGGGGCACATAATGGAAAGAAGCAGTGAGCAACAAGATTGAAAAATAGAAGAACCAGATCTTGAATGTCAGGGAGGTCCAGGGACTTTAACTTGTAGAGAATAGGAAGCCACTTAGCAGTTTGAACAGGAGACTAATAAGACAAAAAGATTATTTTTGAAGGCTTACTATGGTGGTGATGTTCAAAATAGATTATAAAAGACAGGAAAATTAAAGTTAAATTATAGCCCAAATTCATTAAATACCTTGGAAAGGATATATTTAAGCTAACCTTTCAAACTGGTCTGTTATAACTCTAAAACTGAATTTATCACAATTCCCAAAATATTTTTATCCTATTTTAAATTTATTTTTAAATTTAGACTTCTGAACTGTTTGTAAGCTATTCAAATTAAATAGTCAATGGAGAGTGTGATGCATTTAATTATTTTATCTGGTATTACTGACAGTTTTTCTGCTTTAAAACATTTCAGAGAAACATGTCTTGTCATAATTAGGATGTGGTTTACCTCGACTTATGTGCTTTTATTAACATATACAACTTACCAAAAATTCATCTAAGAAATTATTTTAAAGAATGCTGAAATCAAATTGCTTCTTTGTAATATTTAGACTTAAAAATAAACACAGACACCAACTGTTCCTCATGCACTTTCTTAGAGACATTTATATTTGAATTAACTGATTTCTAGCCTGATAGTTTTAATTCGTGAAAAAGTGTGAGGTTTTTTTTTTTTTTTGGCTTTTTTTGTTTTGTTTGGTTGTTTTTGTACCCAAGGCCTTTCTGTCAAGTATGTTTTACAACCATTGGGTCAAAATGCTGAATTTTCCACCAAAGAAGAAATCTGTTTTACTAACACTGAATAAAGCTTAGCTGTGTTATAACAAGAATTATTTTAGTCAAGTTCATTAGTTAACCAATGTATACTGAACTATAAAGCAAATCTTCTATACTGTAGTTTTAGAATAATACTTGCTTGCCGAACACTGTTGGTGGTCTAAATTCTGACCTTCCTCTATTATCTGCTATTCCAAACAGCAGGTACTCTAATTGATTCCCACTGAGAGCATAAAAGCAAACTTGGCAGCTTTTCAAAATAAGCACAGCCACATAGAATAAATCTCCTATAGAAGAGACCTCTTTACTCTTTATGTTCTGCAGCGGTCTTATGGTAAATAAATTACAGCCTCATTCTTAAAAACAACTCACTAATTCAGGAGTTCAAACCAAACTGTCAAAAGTAAGGCAAGAAAATGTTGAAGAAATGGTATGGATTGTTTTCACCTTAAGCGGTGGAATGTGTCAGCTGTGTGACGTTAGAGCAATGTGCTAGCAAGCCCTTCCTTCAGACGAGAATTCAGCAATTCTGATTGTTAGAACAAAACACTCTCCGTATGCTACACAGGCTAGAGCTAAGTGTTTTTTGTTTTTTTTTTTTAAACTTAATTGCTTAAACCATTTTTTATGTCCATTTAGAAAAGAACTTTAAAGCTTAAAACATTCTGCATAAGACTCTACATCAGAACACACAACTCAGCACTTCCTAGCAAAGAAATAAAAATAATACAATATTCCTTTTTTATTCCTCTATAATAAGACACCATTAAAGGCATATAACATGAATTCTGATGTTTATCTCAAGTAGGCTTTAAAAATGTTTACATGGAAATACTATATATCTAAATGGAAGGTTAAATGTCCAAGTATCATGAAATTTATCTTCAAAGTACCTGTACCCATTTCTTTCTTTACAGCAAATAGTTCCATTAAGATGGAACTTTACATCAAAATAAGAAAAATCTTAAGTGCATATACATAGAAGTAATAATCCTTGGACATGTTGATTTTGCGGTTACGTGTATTATCTTCCAAAATAAAATTTCAATAACTTAACATTTGATTGTAAATGTAGTTCAGTTATGGAGTAATTTTTCAAAAATATTATTTTCTGATCACAGTGCTCTTTAATATTATTAAGGACAGAAAGCAGGAGAGAGGAAGAGGGAGGGAGAGAGAGACAGAGAGAGAACAGAAAATACTCAAAAAAGAAAAAGCTGAAATCTAGTTCTTTGTAAACACAAAGAAAATTAAAAAATTAAGAAAAAATCAGAAGGCAAAAAATAAACACTATAAAATTAGGGCTTAGCTACATATATTGTAGTGTTTAAAAGAAAATAGGAAGACATTATAAACAACTTCATCCCTTTAAATTTGACAGTGAATATAAAGTAGGAAAATATTAGGAAATTAAAACCTACTAAGATTGACCAAAGGAGCCTGGTGGCACCATGGTTAAGCACTTGGTTGCTAACCAGAATGTCTGCAGTCTGAACCCACCAGCTACTCCATGGGAGAAAGATGTGGCAGTCTGCTTCTGTAAAGATTTAGAGTCTTGGAAATCCCATGGAGCAGTTCTACTTTTTCCTGTAAGGTGGCTATGAGTTGGAACCAACTCAACAGCAATGGGTCAAGATGGACCAAGAAGAAATAGAAAAGCTGAACAGTTTTATACCCATAGAATACTTAAAATTGTTAAAAATCTTCCCACAAAGAATATACCTGATTTAAAAACTAAAAATTTTCAAGAAATTTTGATTCTGAACTTACACAAACTCTATAGAAAACAGAAGTAGAAGAAACTTCAAAACTCACTCTATGATACACAAACCAGATATAGATTAAAAAAAAAAAAAAGCAAATTAGTGACCTACCTCATTTACTAGCTTAGATTTAATATCCTAAACAAATACTAACAGACTGAATCTAATAAAGTATAAAATAGATACAATAAAATGGATAAACCCAAGCTCGGCTTATCCTACAAATAAAAGATTGGTTTAATATTGAGAATTTGATAAATGTAATCAACCACCTCAATAACTTAAGAAACTATGATTTTTATATCTATGGATATAAAGTATGTAATATAATTTAACATTGATTCATTAAAAAAAAAAAGAAAATACTGCTGAACTAGCCATAGAAGGCAATTTCTTTACAACTAAAAGACATCTATGAAAAACCTCCAGCAAACATCCGATTAACACTGAAATGCTGAAAGCTTTCTTTTAAGACTAGAAACAGCACAAAGATGGCCTTTTGGCACTATCATAAGGAAGTGAATACATGGTGTATTCAAAGTGACAACAGAAAAAAAAAACTGTCAATCTAGACTCCTGAACTCAGCTAAATTTTTATTCAAGACTGAAAGTTAAATAAAGAGTCTTTCAAGGAAACAAAAACTGAGCAGTTACCACCCACAGATTCACCCAAAAGGAACTTTTAAATGATGTACTTCAAGAAGAAGGAATATGATCTCAGAAGAAAGGCCTGAAAGTCAAAGTTCTGAAAGGTCTGAAAAGTAAAGAGAATGATAAAGATGAGGGTAAGTCTAAATAGACACTGACTGCACAAAGCAAAGGTAATTAGATTTTAGCCATTAATTGTAAATCTTATTAGTGCGAAGAAATGCTAGAAATGTTGATCATTTACATTCAGAAACTTTATCCCCTAACAGAGAATATTTGAACACTGCCAGTGAAGTATGCTTGATGTCTTCTCTTTCACCTCCCCCACTCCACATACTTCAACATTGCTAGTGGTAGAAGTTGAGTAATAGGTATGGGAAGGAAAATGTAGTCCATGCATAGCCAAAGCATGAAGCAGTGAGCTGAAAAGGAATCTTCAATAGAATACATCAGGAAGAAACACTAACAGTTTGTGCCACACAGGGACTATATTACTCATTAGGGAAAGGCAAATCAAAACCACAATGAGATATCACTCACTTCACAACCACTGAGATGGCTATGATTAAAAACAGTGTTGGTGAGGATGTGAAGAAATTGGAACCCTCATTCATTGCTAGTGGATTGTAAAACGCTACAGCCACTATGGAAGAGAGTTTGGTGATTCCTCAAAAGGTTAAACAGAATTACCATAT